TGGGCCACATGATGGCGCTTTTAGCTCTGTCAGCATTAACCATTCACCCTAATTTTACCTTTTAAACCATAATTTGATTCTCAATGTTTGTCCTTTCTTCTTAGTTTTAACTTCTGATTTTTTAGGTTACAAAGAAACTTCTAAAACCTGTCAGAGCCTACAGTCAAACAAAACAGGATTTCTAAGTGTAACTCTATGACTAAATGAGCATGCTGTCTCAGAGGAACACAAGTGTATGTGGTCTGTTTCTGGCCACCAAGTAGGTGAAAAATTTCTAACTCACAACATGAGAAGTATCATACTGCGTCATGACCCAGCCCATCTAGGTCAATGTTCTGTCTCTGACACGGCATCAGGAGACATTTTGTGAGAAGCACTGCTATTCTCCATGACATTAAAGCTATACTCCAGATATTTTTTCATACCTTAATAATAAAAATGAGAAAGTAGAAAATCTCTAAGGCCCCTTCTGACTCCAAAGCCTCAAGAGAAGTATGAAGCTAAAATTCATGAATTTGTCTAAATCTTTCTTAAATCTTTCTATACATATCTACCAATGAGGTAGTGAGCTTTCTATAATATAAAATAATATCTTAGAGATGTTAAAAGACACTACAGATTTCAGTATTTGGTATCTGCTAAGGAAATTTATATTAGCTTTCACAGCAATATAAGAAAGACTATACTAAGTTAAATTCAAAATTCTATTTCCAAATAGTGTGCAAGATCGCAGTGTCCCTGAAGATATCAACTTCAAAATTTGTTCTGGACACTCTATAAAATACTCCTGTTTTTCTTCATAATTGAAAATTTTTGATCCAATACTTTAACAACCTTCATCTTTACAGACTGAGGAGTTCAAATTATTTAAGTCAGTACCTTTTATTCTAAATTCTTGAATGAAACAGACTTCCCTAAAGATAGTATAACTTTCCCTAGTCTTATGCTGATAGTTCTAATTTTCATCACTTTTATAAGTAAGATATTTCCTATCCAGCAAAGTTTCACTACAGTGGCAGTGACTGACTCAGAACTGGAAAAGGTTAGAACTAAAGGGAACTGAGAGATTAAATGCTACTTTCTACTTTGCAAATGAGGAAACTGAGGCTTAGTGTTGATAACAGACTTTCTAACAGTAACACAACTAAAAACCTAAACTAGATATAACAAAATAGTACTCTTAAAACTGTGGATCAGGGGGCGCCTGGGTGGCTCAGTGGGTTAAAGCCTCTGCTTTCGGCTCAGGTCATGATCCCAGGGTCCTGGGAAAGAGGGCCCGCATCAGGCTTTCTGCTCAAGTGGGGAGCCTGCTTCCCTTCCTCTCTGCCTGCTTGTGATCTGTCAAATAAACAAATAAAATCTTTAAAAAAACAAAAACAAAAAAACCCACTGTGGATCAAACTCAACCAATTAAGTGGGTTACCACCAGCATTTTAAAAAAGCAACAGAGTAGCTCATTTAAAAAAGAGCAACAGATACTTTAAAAAAGTATCAGAGGCTTTTTGTGTTGTAAGGATAAATGTCATTTCATAAAATTTTGTTTCAGTTATATGTATGCATTGGATCATATTGTAAAATATATTCATAGTAAAAAATTTTGGAAGTCATTGCAATATTCAATTCTTTGGATTTTAAAATTTGCTCTTAATTTTTAAAAATCTAAAATTTATTATTATTATTTGATAATTATTATTAATAAAATAATAAAATAATTACATTGTGATTTAATTATGATGGTGATGTAATTTATTATGATGACATTTTCAGCTAATAAAAATAAAAATAAATGCTGCCATTTAAAAGGAACAATTTTTCCCTTTAAAGAAGAGAGGATCTGAATATTATACCCCATACCGTTTATGAAGACTTTCTTTAAAAATCACGTTTCTGTAGAGCTTAGATGTGCAACAGGTAGAAAGGCTTTTGAAAAGAACACTGAATTCTAGAATTCTTTTTTTTTTAATTTTTTTTTAATTTTTTTTTTTTTGAATTCTAGAATTCTTATCATTAGAACACTTAAAAATATCAAACATTCTCTGAAGACACAGTGACCTCTAGTGGATTCATGAAATAAACTGACATACTGCTTGCCCATAAGAACTTATAAATTATGCATGCAGATATAAAAGATACTAATATGGCTATGTACTGACAAGTATCATACATAAATAAGGGCTACAGTTACACTATGTACATTGTGACAACTGTCTATTTATAGATTACTCACTGGTTACTTCCAGTCAATGTATTCCTGGCATTGTTCAGACCCTATCATTAGCTTAAAAAATAAATACATTTAATCTTTCTGAGCTCGTTTGATAAAGATGTTGGGTTAATTTGTCTCTACGGACCTTTCAGCTTTTTTTTTTTTTAAAGATTTTTATTAATTTGACAGAGATCACAAATAGGCAGAGAGGCAGGCAGAGAGAGAGGGGGAAGCAGGCTCCCTGCTGAGCAGAAAGGCTGGGTCCCAGGACCCTGAGACCATGACCTGAGCTGAAGGCAGAGCCTTAACCCACTGAACCACCCAGGCACCCCCTTTTCAGCTCTTTAATTATGATTTTTTCTCCCCCAATTCATCTTGTACATCAATGTCAGATCAAATTTGTTCAAAAGCATTTGAAGGTTCCCCAGTACTTATCCCCATTAGAATACAATTTTTTTCACCTGTGTACTTGTTATGCCATCCCATTAACATTTCCATTTAAATTCACAGATTTGAGGTGCCTCCTTAGAGTAGTAGGCAGCGCGTCAGTCTCATAAATTCACAGATTTGGTTTCATAAGTGTGTATGCGCTCGTACAGGTGTGGGTAGATTGTCGTATACTAAGCACGTACTACGCACACTGAATATAAACTAAGTTGACTTGTTTAGATTAAGGAAACCAAGGCCATTTTCATCTTTCTTTTTTAGTGAGGTAGGGAAGGGGATATAAAGTAGAATTTCAAGAACCACAAATATAAAGTGACAGAGTTTCATATTCTGGGAAAAGGTGGGCATTCTGAACACAGAATAAGATTTTAGGAAAAAAGAGGGAAGAACTGTTTTAAATTAGCTGAAGGAAGTACCAATAATTATATCTGAAGAATATAAAGATGACAGAAAGGCTGGTTTGGTAAATGATTTTAAAGCAGATATGAGGATGGCTGAATTTAACAAGTAGAAAAGATATCACTGGAAACAACGTTAAGGATAACTTAAGGACACGCTGGTTTTAACAGCTGAAGAACAGAATACGTAGCTGTCATAAGACTAAGGAGGCGATGAGCAGCTCTGCTGAAAGAAATGTTAAGAAAGAAAAAAAAGTAGGCGCCTGGGTGGTTCAGTTGGTTAATCGACTACTTTTGGCTCAGGTCACGATCCTTGAGTCCTGGGATCAAGTCCTGCATTGGGCTCCCTGCTCGGCAGGGAGTCTGCTTCTCCCTCTAACCCTCCCCCTCTCATGCTCTCTCAAATAAATAAAATCTTAAAAAGAAAAAAAAGTGATAGTAAATAAGGTGCTCTTAGGTTCCCAGTCACCTTGGACAATGCCATAATCCTTTATCTTCCAAATAAAAAAGTCAAGCTGGTGGAGAAATAGTGAACAATTTAGTCTTCATTGTGTGTAATTCACTTCACAAAGGCTATATGGTGGTATGTTTTACAAAATCTCTTTTTTTTTCAGAGAGAGAGAGTGAACAAGACGGGGGGGGGGGGCGCTGAGGGAGGGGGAAAGGGAGAGAACCTTAAGTAGACTCCATGCTGAGTGCTGAGCCCAACACAGCTCCACTCAGTGCTCAATCTCACAACCCTAACATAAAAACTAAGCCGAAATCAAGAGTCAGATGCTTAACCAACTAAGCCACCCAGGCATTCCTTGACCTATTCTAAACCACACAGCAGGATCTGCAGGCAAAGGTGTCAGCCAACAAAGAGACTGTCCCTTGGTACAAATGATTCTAGTTCAAACTACAGTGGTTTCATAATACCTTGTGCATCAGATAAGACTTTAATAAGCTTTTCTTAAGGCAAAGATCTTTAATTAACTTGGGTCTCATTACATTTATGTCATTAAGTTTTATAGCATTGATATTCTTTTACCACATGCCTTGTGTTGCAATATTCTCTATGAAACATGAATTATTTGGGACATTATTTCATTTAAGCCTGTTTGAAATTGGATAATATGGTTCAATTATGCAACAATTTTTGTTACCTTTTCTGTATTATGGCATTTGCCCCTCAATAATAAATTTCCTCTCAAATTCAGCAACTAAAATATTGTAAATGTTTAAGCATTTCCCAAGAGGCAAAACTCTAGGAATGTTCATATATGTTTTTGCTTAAAATTATATTGGATTTTTTTTTTAAAGATTTTATTTATTTATTTGACAGACAGAGATTACAAGTAAGCAGAGAAGCAGGCAGAGAGAGAGAGGAGGAAGCAGGCTCCCTGCTGAGCAGAGAGCCCGATGCAGGGCTCGATCCCGGGACCCTGGGATCATGACCTGAGCCGAAGGCAGGGGCTTTAACCCACTGAGCCACCCAGGGGCCCCTATATTGGATTTCTTTAAATTTATAAAATATTGTACTAATTTTTGATAAAGACTGAGTAAATTAGTAACTTTAGTACACAGGTTTTTTGTTTTGTTTTTTAGTACATACAGTTTTCTAACAACAAAGTCAGTTCAGTTGGATCCTGAGATCTAGTATCTACTGGAAAACTTTAACATTCTTACTCTAGGATTATTATATTAATAGGATTAATAGAAATAACTGGCATAGCAGAAAGCAAAGTTCAGGTTTTGGGATTAAAGCTAAAACAGCTAAGAAACAATATTTATATTTATTAATTTTCTGATTTTAAGTGTAAAATCCTTAATAACTATACTTAAAATATAACCATTTCCCCACAATTAAAATGTGTGCAATGGTAACATTCTACAGAAAACTAGGATTACTCTCTACATATTTCAAAAAGTAATGTATCAACAAACGTATATATAATGATTTAAATTACCTTTCCTCTTCTCGAACCCATACTGGAGTTTTTGGAATTTGTGCTTCAAAAAACTTAGATGCTTTATAACAAAAATTGCTGCAAAAACACTGAAAGGAACATTTTTAAATTAGCAAATTATTTTTTCTTATAGTACAACACAACTTATGTACAGAAATCATAAACATATAGTTCAAAGAAAATAATGAAAATCCATGAATCCACCAGCCAAGGTAAGAAATAATGTATAGTACCTTTGAAGCTCTGCATATGTCTATCCCAGATAGTGTCACTTTCCATATTCCCTAGAAGTAACCACTATCATGAATTCTGTGTTCCTCATTCCCTTGCTTCCCTTTAGTTTTGCTATCTGTATACACATACCTACAAAAGATACCATTCAGTTTTGCCTAATTCTAAACTTTGTCTAAATATAACTATACTGCTATGTTTTCTGGGTTTTTTGTTCCATGTTATATTTTTCAGATTCATGTAGATGTAGCTCATATATTTGTATTCGGTATTACAATCTACTGTATATCACCTTTATTGTTTAAGAATGTTGAGCTGTTTCTAACTTTTCAGCTATCACTACATTGTGCTTATAAATTTTTTTCAAGAATTTTTAAAATTAAAAAAACTGGTAAAATACACATAATTTACCATCTTAACCATTTTTAAGTGTTATAGTTCAGTGGCACTAAATACCTTCTCACTGTAGTACAACCATCACTATCATCCATCTCTAGAATGCGTTTCATCTTACAAAATGAAACTCTGTACCACTAAACAATATCTCCCCATTTCTGCTTCTTCAAACTATCACCATTCTACTTCTGTAACTATAAAATTCAACACTCTAGTTATCTCATATAAGTCGAATCATTTAATATTCGTCCTTTTGTGCAGGCTTATTTCACTTAGCATAATGTCTCAAAGTACATTCATGTTGTAGCATGTGTCAGAATTTCCTTCCTTTAAAAGGATGAATAGGGACGCCTGGGTGGCTCAGTTGGTTAAGCCGCTGGCTTAGGCTCAGTGCATCCCGGGTCCTGGGATCAAGTCCCGCATCAGGCTCCTTGTCCAGCAGGGAGCCTGCTTTCTCTCTCTGCCTCTGCCTGCGACTCTGCCTGCTTGTGCTCTCTTTCTGACAATAAATAAATTAAAAAATCTTAAAAAAAAAAAAAAGGATGAATAATATTCCATTCTAATTATGTGGCATATTTCGTTAATCCAACTAGGAATGTTGATATACATACACAGTTGTACAAACGGGCAAGGAATTCCTTAAAATATACACCAAAGAATAGAAAGGCTTGGCCATAAAAAATGTGGGGACTTCACGTTACTAGATAATACCAATTTCTCAAAAAGGATGCAATTCTATTTAACCAGTAGTATAAAGAGTGTCTGATATTGTCAGATTTTTATAATATATTTTGCTAATTTGGGGGCTGTGAAAATGTAAATCAATGTGTTTTCATTTATTTCTGGATTACTAATAAGGTTGAACATCTTTTCATATATTCATTATCAAGCTCCTATAAAATTTTCTAGGGGTACCTGGGTTGCTCAGTCAATTAAACATCTGACTCTTGATTTGGGCTCAGGTCATGGTCTCAGGGTTGTGAGATGGGAGTCCCATGTCACGACTTCATGCTCAGCATGAGATTCTTTCTCCCTCTTCTATTGCCTGGCCCCCCCACCCTGACTTGTTCACTCTCTTTCAAAGAAAAAAAAAATTCTACAAAGTTTTCTGTCTTTCCCTGGTTATGAATCGGTGGTCAGTGGGAATTACACCTCCTTCTGATTTATAGCTTATTTTTTCACCCTTTGTTGGAAACTTCTGATAAGCAAAATGTTTTTAATTTTTTTTTTTTAAGATTTTATTTATTTGACAAAGAGAGACACAGTGAGAGAGAGATCACAAGCAGGGGGAGTGGGAGAGAGGGAGAGTGTTGAGCAGGGAGCCTGATACGGGCCTCAATCCCAGGACCTCGGGATCATGACCTGAGCCAATGGCAGATGCTTAACAATTGAGACACCCAGGCACCCCACAGGTGTTTTTAATTTTAATGTAGAAAAACTTACCAATTTTTCCTCTATGGTCTGTAATTATCTATCTTATTTAAGAAATTCTCTCTTCCAAGTTTATAAAGATACCTTCCCATATTCTCTTTGAAAAGCGTATCTTTTAAATTTAAATCTTACTGAAACAGGGATTAATTTTCAGTTTTTCCATTTGGATAACTATTTGTGCCAGTACTATTTACTGAAAAATCCATACTTTCTCCACCGATCTACAGTATTTCTGTTGTCACACATAGTGTCCACCCATGTGGTGAGTATGCATCTGGCTCTCTATTCTGTTCCATGATTTACTTGCCTGAATTTGTGCTGTTATGCACTTCTAGTTCTTATTTTATTTAAATTTTATTTTATTTTTAGAGAATGACAGTAAGAGAATATGAACAGGAAGGGAGGGTGCAGAGAGGAAGAGAAGAAAGGGAGAGAATCCCAAGCCAACTCCACGCTTAGTGTGGGAGCCAGATGCAGGACTTAATCCCACTACCTTAGGATCATGACTTGAGCTGAAATCAAGAGTCGGATGCTTAACTGACTGAGCCACCCAGGTCCCTTTTTAATTTTTAAATGTTCAAGTATTAATTAAAGTACAAGCAATTTTTACTAACACCTTGAATGAAATATTTCCAAATAAACTTTTAACGTGGCTACTTCCTAAAAGGCAAACTTTTCAAACAATTCTTTTTAGAATTCCATTTAATATATTAAAAAATAACTGCCACATTGAGACTAGCCTTTAAGCTTACCTTTCTTTCAGTAATATCATAGACTTTATTGGTTTTGGTGGAAATTTTATATTTCTGTTTTGGTACCTAAAAAAAAAAAAAAAAAAAAAAGAAAGTATAGCTTAAGAAGAATTCAAGTAATAAATATAAACTTTATGTTACTAGATTACTAGATTAAATCATCTACATATCATATCTTTAGCTAACTCATGTCATTAGTTCATGGCCTCAGTTTCATTTCTTGTCTTATCTACAAAGTATTTGTTAAATATAAAAAAATTTAAGCTTCTGGGACGCCTGGGTGGCTCAGTTGGTTAAGCGGCTGCCTTCGGCTCAGGTCATGATCCCAGCGTCCTGGGATCGAGTCCCGCATCGGGCTCCTTGCTCAGCAGGGAACCTGCTTCTCCCTCTGCCTCTGCCTGCCTCTCGGCCTACTTGTGATCTCTCTCTCTCTCTCTCTGACAAATAAAATCTTAAAAAAAAAAAAAAAAAAAAAAATTTAAGCTTCTATTTAAAAAAATTCATTACTTACAGCTCCTAGTTTCTTCTGACATAAGGGATAACCGCAGAGTTTAATAATAGAACGTTCATCCACGACATCGCTGTAGTGAGCTGGTGTGATGAACTTCCCCTATAATGAAATGAGAGGGGCAATGCCCCACTAGATTATTGGACAAGTTCATTTATCAGCTCTCTAAGCCTCACTGATTTCATCTGAAAACACAGGGATAATAGATCTATCTCACAAGTATGATATTAGAATCAGAGAAGAAAAGAAAAGAAATACACTTAGAAAAGCATTTAACACATAGTAAGCACTCAAAAATGTTAGCTATTAAAAAACAACAACAACCTGAAAAGACTTCTGCCAATAGACTATATTTTTGTATATCTATCTTTGTAGATATACAGTTCATGAAATAATTCTGAGGCAGGAGAAAGAAGTGGTGTGCAATAGTGATTGCTATTCCAAAGCAAACCACTGTAAAGTTTATTTTATTTAAAAAATGTATTATTTAAAAAATAAACCATGTAGAATAAAATAAAATTTACATGTTTTTAAAGAACTATCTTAAAAAACAAAGTATGTCAAAGGTGTCATTGTGACTCCTGACAAGTTTTTGTACAAAATCTTCCAGCTTCTGGAAAACTGTACAGGAAACTGATGAGGTGGTTATAAGCAGACACCAAATATTTCCCCTTGATATATCTTCATGTTCAAATCTCAACTCATAATTATTTCATAATTGTGAGATCATTTTTGAACAAGTTTTTCTGTTTTCCCAGAGGCTAAAATACTTTTTACTAAGAATAATACAAGATATTTGTTTCAAATGAAGCATTTCTGGTTTGTCTTTGTCTTTAGTGTCATCATGCATGCAGATTCTGATGTAGTTACCTATATCGATTTAAATATTATCCTATTCGTGGGGGAATAGGTGAGCCTGGTGATGGGTTTTAAGGAGGGGAGAGATTGCATGGAGCACTGGGTGTTAATATGCAAACAATAAATCATGGAATACTACATCAAAATCTAATGATGAAGTGTATGGTGACTAACATAACATCATACAAAAAAATCCTATTTATATTCCTCTTGTTTAGGAAAATCTCTGAGCTACACTGATAATTATTTTTGCAATGGAAGCTGAGTTTTAATTTTCCTTTTCTTTTTTCTCTTAAAGATTATGAGGATATAACAGAAATTTTCATTCAAAATTTTATTGCAATAGAGCTATTAAAAGAAAAAAAACTTTTAATGCAAATTATAATTCTCATTATGTGTTAAATAAAAAATGATCTATATTCCAGGTTTTTAAAATATCAACACTAATAGAACTACATTAACAAATAATAACTTTCTGAAATTGAGGAAGACACAAAGAAATGAAAAAATGTTCCATGCTCATGGATTGGAAGAATAAATATTGTGAAAATGTCTACGTTTCCCAAAGCAATCTACACATTTAATGCAATCCCTATCAAAATCCCATCCATTTTTTTCAAAGAAATGGAACAAATAATTCTAAAATTTATATGGAACCAGAAAAGACCTCAAATAGCCAAAGGAATATTGAAAAAGAAAGCCAAAGTTGGTGGCATCACAACTCCGACTTCAAGCTCTATTACAAAGCTGTCATCATCAAGATAGTATGGTACTGGCACAAAAACAGACACATAGATCAATGGAACAGAATAGAGAGCCCAGAAATAGACCCTCAACTCTATGGTCAACTAGTCTATGACAAAGCAGGAAAGAACGTTCAATGGAAAAAAGACAGCCTCTTCAACAAATGGTGCTGGGAAAATTGGACAGCCACATGCAGAAAAATGAAATTGGATCATTTCCTTACACCACACACGAAAACAGACTCAAAATGGATGAAGGACCTCAATGTAAGAAAGGAATCTATCAAAATCCTTGAGGAGAACATAGGCAGCAACCTCTTCGACCTCAGCCGCAGCAACTTCTTCCTAGGAACATCGCCAAAGGCAAGAGAAGCAAGGGCAAAAATGAACTATTGGGACTTCATCGAGATCAAAAGCTTTTGCACAGCAAAGAAACAGTTAACAAAACCAAAAGACAACTGACAGAATGGGAGAAGATATTTGCAAACGACATATCAGATAAAAGGCTAGTATCCAAAATCTATAAAGAACTTATCAAACTCAACACCCAAAGAACAAATAATCCAATCAAGAAATAGGCAGAGGACACAGATGGCCAACAGACTCATGAAACAGTGCTCCACATCACTCGACATCAGGGAAATACAAATCAAAACCACAATGAGATACCACCTCACACCAGTCAGAAAGGCTAAAATTAACAAGTCAGGAAATGACAGATGCTGGCGAGGATGCAGAGAAAGGGGAACCCTCCTACACTGTTGGTGGGAATGCAAGCTGGTGCAACCACTCTGGAAAACAGCATGGGGGTTCCTCAAAAAGTTGAAAGTAGAACTACCTTATGACCCAGCAATTGCACTACTGGGTATTTACCCTAAAGATACAAACATAGTGATCTGAAGGGGCACATGCACCCGAATGTTTATAGCAGCAATGTCCACAATAGCCAAACTATGGAAAGAACCTAGATGTCCATCAACAGATGAATGGATAAAGAAGATGTGGTATATATATACACAATGGAATACTATGCAGCCATCAAAAGAAATGAAATCTTGCCATTTGCAACGACATGGATGGAACTAGAGGGTATTATGCTTAGCGAAATAAGTCAATCAGAGAAAGACAACTATCATATGATCTCCCTGATATGAGGAAGTAGAGATGCAACATGGGGGTTGGGGGGGTAGGAAAAGAATGAAACAAGAATTGATCAGGAGGGAGACAAACCATAAGAGACTCTTACTGTCACAAAACAAACTGAGGGTGACCAGGGGAGGGGGGTATGGAGAGGGTGGTGGGGTTATGGACATTGGGGAGGGTATGTGCTATGGTGAGTGCTGTGAAGTGTGTAAACCTGGAGATTCACAGACCTGTACCCCTGGGGCTAATATATTTATTAAAAAATTAAGAAATTTAAAAAAAATAATAACTTTCTGTTATTAAAATAGGACAACACACAGAGTATGGGAAATAACATTAGGATAATTAGAGCAAAGTGATGAAAATCAAGTGAGATTAGCTGACCTATTTAAAGAACTACTATTAAGGGGTAAAATATGTATGTTATTTTTCATTAGTGTATTTTAAAGTTATACAACAAGGAATGCATAATAGGTGATTATTTTAAAATGCATGAATTATACAGCATGCTACCTGCATCTAATGACTGAGAACAGATTCAAAGATTTTTATAATATAAGGAAGTGTCAGACTGCATAGATTTAAAGATCTAATACTACAAATGTCATAATTTCCCAAATTAACACATACGCATTCCCTTAGGAATTCTTCTGTAATATCCTCTTCTAAAAGCTGCTCAACGATATGTAGAGCTTTTCTCTCAAATTCAATTTTCTTTCTCACAGCTGCTTCTAGTTCTGCTCTCCTAAAATTAAAAAACAAAAAATTATTTAAAATTTAAACGTTTGGGGCACCTGGGTGGCTCAGATGGTTAAGCATCTGTGTTTGGCTCAGGTCAGGATCTCCAGGTCCTGGGATTGAGCATCCGGCTCCCAGCTCGGGGGAATCTGCTTCTCCTCTTGCCTCTCCCCTTGCTTATGCACGCGCTTGCTCTCTTTCTCTCTCTCTCAAATCAATGAATAAAATATTAAAAAAAAAAATTTAAAAGTTATTCTACTTATGTTTTATCATAGCCAATTTTCTTAGAACATATCACAAACATAATGTGCTATTTTGCTTTTTAAATTTGTATTGTTACTTTTGATCCAATACTTTTCAAAGTATTAACACATAGAAGTCTGCCACAATAATAGGATTATTTGATTTCCCAGACTTAGAGCACAAGGAAGAAAATGAGGTGAAATCTTTTTGCCAGTTAGTGTTTATACTCCTCACACTCCTATGTGCACCTAAAGATGGACTTTTCCTTTGAAATCCTTAGAAATCAGAAAGATTAGAGAGGAAAAATACGACTTCAGCTGTTCTTATAAGTAAAAATGTATTTGTGTCAAGTCTCAAAAGTTAATGATAGCCCAGTTGACTAGATAGAGTCCTATTTGCAAAGAAGTGTTTACTTACTTTTGTTATTAAGTCTTATTAAAAAATGATATTGACATGACAATGTAGTTTAGGAAAACAATCTTCCTATAAGGGCTGGTCCTTGCCCTGGTACCAACAGGACCGTCAGCCTTTGCTGGCCCCTACACATCATGGAACATAAAAGCAGAGGCTACCTGATCAGACAATGGCTCTAGGAGAATGGTTCTCAATCCTAGCTACACATTAGGATCATCTAAGGAGATTTCTTTTAAAGATATTATGCCTAGGTCCTAGTACAGGCTAACTCAAGCAAAATATCTGAGGATGGGGCCTAGTTACTGGTGTTTTCTTAAAAGTGCTCCAGATAATCCTAATGTGCAAAAGGGTTGAGAGTCCTTGCCATAGGACCAAACATACTTACCATCTTGGTAACTTATTTGTCCTATCCTGCACTGGTTTCTACTTTCCTACCAGAACTACCTCAGCCAGTCTCTTGGGCTTTGATGTGGCTCTATATCTGGATCTATATTCATTTTTTTTCTCCCTACTTTCATTGACTCTCAAGACTTTAGACTCTAATTTCTTGCCTAGAAAAATAATATTCTACAAAAACAATATAATATGTATTAATAATATTCTACAAAAAAGAAGGATGACACAGGATTGACAACTCTTTCTTTTGCCAAATAGGGACATTAAAACAAGAAGAAATTTGCAACTAACAACTGTTCTCCTACGATTTCATAAAGGCCATTCTTACATCGAAGAAGTATAAAAGACATGAATACAGATGAAAAAAAGTTCTTTATATTAAATGTATTTGGTTTTATGAAAAACATTATTTTATTTTTCTCATATTGCTGCCCACCAATAAAAGCTATGCCAGGTACTAGGATCAGTCTACAACTTGCACTAAGGAATTGCTGACTCAAAGTATTAACTACGTCAACCCGAAGTAAGAGTCACACTCACTCTTAACTGATGCCTAGAGCTGCTTCCCATGAACAGCCCTATCTCGCTGCTGCCCTCTCTCCTAAATGATGACAGGTAGTATGGTGTATAGCAGTGGTTCTCAAATTCTTTGGTCTCAGCATTCCTTCACACTCTTAAAATTATAACTTTGGCTTATGTGGCTTATCTGTATTGATATTTGTAATACTTGGATTAAAAATGAGAAAAGTTTAGGGGCGCCTGGGTGGCTCAGTGGGTTAAAGTCTCTGCCTTCAGCTCAGGTCATGATCCCAGGGTCCTGGGATCGAGCCCCGCATCAGGCTCTCTGCTCAGCAGGGAGCCTGCTTCCCCCTCTCTCTCTGCCTGCCTCTCTGCCTACTTGTGATCTCTGTCTGTCAAATAAATAAATAAAATCTTTTAAAAAAATGAGAAAAATTTAAAGCACTTATTAATGCATTATAATAATAGTAACAATAAACCCATTACATGTTAATAACATTTTTAAATAAAAAACTTAGTGAAAACAGTAGAATTATTTTGTATTTTGGCAAAGTTCCTTAATTTCTGGCTTAATAGTATTTGGTTGGATTGAATGTAGAAGTATTTTTCAGTTGGCATAGATTTATAAAGGATCACTCCCTTCAACAACTATTTGGTTACCTACCTCCATGGATTTTTAATTGTTTCATCATGTTGGATAATCTGTTCACAATACATCTCAGTGTATTTATACTTCCCACACTATACTGCTCAGAATAAAATAAGAACTCCTTGGGTTTGTGGTCAGATCACTATTGAGGAACATTGCAAATTACCATCATTATCAATATTAACTTTACTCTTGCAGTGTACCATAAAACCAAGTTAGTATAATCATGATGCTCCACAGGGAAATATTCTCTAAAACAGATCGCAAGGGGCGCTTGGATGGTACAGTCAGTTAAGTGTCTGACTCTTGGTTTCCACTCAGTTCGTGATGTCAGTGTCATGGGATTGAGCCCCTCCTCAGACTCCTCACTCAGGTGGTATCAGCTTGCGATTCTCTCTCCCTCTCCCTCTGCACCTTCCACTCATGTGCATTCTCCCTCTCTGATAAATGAATCTTCAAAAAAAAAACACAAAAAACAAAAACCCACCAGATCTCAAATACATCCAATTTCTCCATTACTAGATGACCACCATTCCTAACATCTTAAATTTTTAAACTGGGTGCCTGGGTGGCTCAGTGGGTTAAGCCTCTGCCTTCTGCTCAGGTCATGATCTCAGGGTCCTGGGATGGAGCTCCACATACGGTTCTCTGCTCAGCTCCCTCCCACCCTCTGCCTGACTCTCTGCCTACTTGTGATCTCTCTGTGTCAAGTAAATAAATAAAGTCTTTAAAAAATTTTTTTAACTTAAATTCCATCACTCTCTTAATTAGAAAATCTAAATTTATCACCACAGCCCACCAGATACTACATGAATAGAATCCTGTCTAAGTTTTTCCTATGTTCATTTCTTCCCTTGCTCAAAATGCCATACACTACCCAGTATCCTTCCTTTCTTTGAACTTGTTAAGCTTTTTCTTCTTTCAGGGTCTTTATATCTCTGGGTGGAGGTCTCTCCTCAGGACTCTCTGGTTAATGCCTACTTAGCTTCAGATCTCAGCTTATTACTTCCTTGGAGAAGTCTTTCCCTGATAATCCCCAGCTAATTTGAACTCCTCTTATTTCCACCTGATAACATCATGGTCTTTTCCGTTACAGTACTTACAATAGTATGTAACTATGGATTCAGTTGTGATAATTTAATTGGTATTTCTCTGTTCCACTAGAAAGGAACTGTGTTTATTCTGCTCAAAACCATATCCTCAGGGCCTAACACAGGTCTGGCATAGCTCACATTTGGTAAATAATTTTGGAAAGAGTGAGCAAATGAAAGCCAGTATCTGCCTGATAAAGGAGAAATCACAGAGGTGCCTGGGGGTCTCAGGTGGTTAAACACTGACTCTTAATTACAGCTCAGGTCATGATCTCAGGGTGTGAGATCAAGACCTAAATCGGGATCTGTGCTCAGTGGAAAGTCTGCTTGAGATTCTCTTTCTCTCCTTCTGTCCCTCCCCAACCCCCCAACACTTACACTCACCCTCTCTCTAAAATAAATACATCTTTTTTTTTTTTTAAAGGATAAACCACAGACATATGTATTTTAAACATTTTCAGAGACTACTCCTATTCTAGAAACTTTTTTGTTACAGGAGATAAATCTAGCCTTTTTAGGAAAGGCCAAGAAACAGAATAGGACTTTTTGCTGAAAATATGGACACAATGTAAACAAACAATAGTAAGAGCTTCTTGGGGTCTCTGGCACATAAAGTAATGAGAGGCAAGCATACCTAAGAAGTGGAAAAGGAGTACCTGGTTAATTCAAGAATGTTTACTTTCTACAGATACTCCTTCCTTCACCAGCAATCTAATAGTGTCTTGATTTAGTTTTCTTAAAACCTGGAGTGGAGAGATATAATGAGTCTGTATGAGAATTTATAATGCTTCTCAGATCTTCCCCTTCTCTCCCATAATAATTTTTTCTAAGGTATTACCCATTGTTTTTAAACATGAGACAAGCAGATATGTTAATGCAGTTTTCCAAGTTGTTCTCATACCTTTTAGAAGCATCTTCTTGTTTTAAGGCATTTGTCTGTTTAGCACCTGCAATAATAATAAAATAGTAGGTCAAGTCTACACAAACTATAGGACAGATTCCTACTCAAACTGCAGACCTTTTTTTCTTTTCCCCACACATGACTTTCCAATCCTACGTGTAAAACAAATGAAATGGGCAGGAAATTCAGTTTGCTTGTGTTATTTCCGAATTTCTCTTGGTTAAAATGTATCTCCTTGGGGGTTCTATTTTCTCACGTACCACAGCTGCACAGTTACGTCCTCCTGAAAATCTGAGATATGGATACTTTTAGAGGCAACCTGTCTCTGTCCCCCGAATGTTCGCTCACAGGGAAAGACCGAGGCTGGGAGTGACACCTCAGAGGAACCGGGGACCAAAGCAGCAGTACATCTCCAAGGTGAGCTGTCCTGGTCACTTGCCCACTCTGGCAAGCCAGCTCTAGACTCCCGCACCTCTACTCCCTTTCCCTCAGAGACAGCCCATTCCGGGGAAAATCTTGGAACACTACTGTAAAGAGGTGGGGCTTTGGCCGGAGGTCTTTTCCAGAAGACCCAGGCCGGTGATGGGACGCTCTCGGCCTTCTCCGCCCTAGGGACCTCCACTACTGCAGCGGTCTTTCCGGTGTGCCCGCCTTAGTGTGGAACCCTGCAGGGCTCAGTTCTCAGGGTGCAAACGTGGGAAGAGGCCCATTTTCCTACCTGCGGCGTTTCGGGAGGCGCGGGGGACCCGGGCCTTGAGGTTGGAAGAACCGTGCCCGGCGGAGTCTGCCATGGGAAGCGTCGTCTGAGGGTCAGGCGGGTGCTGGCTTCTCCCTTTGAAGCTCCGCCTCCCCTCGCGTAGCGCGGGGCGGGGCCGGCGGGGCGGGGGCGGGGGCGGGGCCCGGAGAGAGGCCTGCGCGGTGGGAGGAGGTGGAGGAGGGCCCAGAAAACAGCGAGAGGTCGGTCGGTAAGTGGTCGCGCCTGGGAGTCCGGGAGGGCCGGGATAGCAACCAGCTGTGAGCCGCGGAGGACCCGGCGCCACGGCCTGCAAAGCCCCGCGAGGTCATGGGGCCCGAATGCCTAGGCGAGCAGGAATCGGGAGAAATGGCTTCCCTTGGATGCAGTCCGCACGCGCGCTGGAGTTTTAGCCGCCCTGGAGCGCGGGCCGTGAGGACCCGGCTGACCCGTACCCGCGCTGCGGGCCTGGGGCTGGGTCTTCCCGCTGGGACAAACGATGGCCTGCGGGAACGGAACGGTGCTCTCCTGAGGGCTGCTGGTTGCTTCGTCTCATTACGATACAGGGATTACACCAACTGGATTATTTGGGGGACTGCATCTCTTACAGCAAAATGTCCGGGTCACACTTGGGGCGGTAGGAATCTGATCTGAACTTTCACCCACTCTGGATGTATTTTATTGGTTCCAATTTTTGTGAAGTGGGACACTGAAAAAAATTTTTTGCTTCCCTAATGACTAGAATTGACTTCAGGAACTATTTTCAGAAATTTTTTCAGAAAAGAAATACTTTGCCTTTTTAAAGCCATTTACTTAGTCCATATTTGCGCTCCTGTGGGGCGTACCATAAAGGATTTTTTTTTCAAATGTCTTTCAAAACTGTTATCTAGAAAACTTAAAAGATGCAAATTTTTTACTTCTTAGGCTAAGATGCTTTCTGTAAAAATATTTCAGCATTAAACCTTCACATTTTTTCTTACTGTATTTAATAATAATTCATCATAATGAAACATAACTTATTAATACTTTAGTATCACTGATAGTTAACTTTTATATTTCAGCATCAAAACTAGGAAAAATAACGAGGGATGGCTGTGGAAGAGCTTCAATCCATAATAACGAGATGTGTAAGTAATTTTTTTTTTCTTTTCATAAAGTTAAATACCAGATTATTTTTAGTTATAATTAGGGTCACTCAAATTACTTATCTTCTTTAATCCTTGCTTTGTTTGACTTGTGAATAAATAGCAGGAGGGCTGGAAGGCAGATTGGATTATTTCTCCAAATGACCTACTTGTCTAACCTTTTAAATTTTTAATATTAATCCTTATTGTAGGATTTTTTGGCAGACTGGATTTCAAGATCATTCATTAAAGTACTTTTTAGGCTTATCCTAATTTTTACACATATGCTTATGTGCAACTTACCTAGAATTCAAACAGATTTCCTTTTTTTTTTCCAGAGAGAGAATAAAATCAGTAGTTGTTAAATTTTTATTCACCAAAACATGTTTGTCTTCATTCTGTTTCTGTCAGCAAATCCTAGAAGAACAAGACTTTAAAGAAGAAGATTTTGGCCTATTTCAGTTAGCAGGCCAAAGATGCATAGATGAAGGGCATATAGAGCAGCTATTAGAAATTATTCAAAATGAAAAGAATAAGGTAAGTACAATGTTTATGAGTACTTCTTAGTCTTTACTAGGAGATAACAGCTACATGATACTATTATTTGTCCACTTATTTATTCACCAAACTTTTAAGGATTAAATTTCTACAGTAAGAAAGTAGAAAACAAAAAAGGAATTAGGGCTATCCACATACTTGAAGGTACTTATAGTCTGGTGGAAGAGATAAGTATGTAAACAACTAGCAATAAGAAGGCAGAATAAATAAATGATAGTTAAAGTGTAAGTAAAATGCTTTAAAAGAGCAGGGATTATGGCTGGCTTAGGGATCAAAAGTGGCATCTGGATTATTAATTTACATTTAGTACTATAAGTATCAGGAAACCTAGATACTCATTTTTGGTGATCAGCACATTCTCTTCCTTCAGCCAAATGAATATGGAAAACCAAATAAGTAGGATAATATTTGGGGGGGGGTTGCCTGGGTGGCTTGATCCGTTAAGCGTTTGCCTTCTGCTCAGGTCATGATCCTGGGGTCCTGGGATTGAGTCCTGCTTGGGGCTCCTTGCTCAGCAGGGAATCTGCTTCTTCCTCTCTCTCTCTCTCAAGTAAATACATAAAATCTTAAATAAAAGGAAAAGATAATATTTGGGTGTGTAGAATCAGAATAGGAGGAGACCTAGATGGCCTTGCTGATATCATATCATACAGCTATGATTATTTAATATTTTCTTTAACTCCTTGATGTCTCCCAATTGTGTTCTCAAAGGATAACCTTTGAGAGTACCTTACTTATAGCTAATAATAATAAATTTAATAATGGCTAATATTTGTTAAACATTTATCATGTGTTAGATGCTGTCCTAAATGCTTTATATCTGTTAACTCATTTAGCTTCCCAGAATCCCATAAGGTACGGTTAAATTCATTTGTAGATAAGGAAACAGTCACTGAAAGGTAAGTGACTAGTCCAGAAGTAACTCAGTTTTTATGTAACATTTAGGGTTCAGACTTCTGCAGCCTGGTTGCAGAGCTCTTAACCACTCCAGTTAGCACTGTGTAGCACTTACAAGGAAGTTTTAGGGTGTTACAAGGGACTAATTGATTGTGATGACTGGGTTTCTAGCCCCCAGGAAGATAATATATTATATCCTGAACAGAAAAAGGGTAATCTAAGAATAGAGAATTTCTTGAAGGAGTGCAAGTAAATTTACTTTGGAAATATTTAAAGATGCAGCAGGCAGTTGAAAAGTAACGTTTGGAGGTCAGTCAAGAAACAGGAGATTAAAGTGCAGATTTGTGCATCATTATTAGAAATTGGGTGATTGAGGCACTTGGGTGGCTTAGTCACTTAAGCATCTGACTCCTGACCGTGATCTCTGGGTTGTGGGACTGAGCCCTGTGTCAGGGCTTTGTGCTCAGCTGGGAGTCTGCTGGAGATTCTCCCTCTCCCTCTACTCTCCCCTCCCCACCCATTCACTCACTCACTCACTCTCCCTCTCTAAAAAAATAAATCTTTTTAAAAAATTAGGTGATTGTGTTAAGTAGAATTTAAATAAACATTTGAAACAAAACAAAAAAAAAGAAAATTAGGTGATTGTGATATTTTTAAGCATAGCAAGTTTGTCTTGGCTTGAGAATCACTTTTGTAATGTGTGGTCTGCTAAATTCACAGGTTCAAACACTGATAAGACAGTGTTTCAAACTGACTGCAACTTCATTTTCTTGCCAGTCAGAATCGATGAAGATTTACTATTACTCTACTTTGTGTAAATTAAAAAAAAAAAAAAAGGCTGTATGAATAGTTTGTCCTATAGAACAGGGCTTCTCAACATTAGTACTCAAGATATTTTGTAGCAAACCCCCCACTCCCCACCTCCCACAACTCCGTAATGACAATCAAAATTGTCTCCAGATTGCCAAATGTCCCTGGTAGACACGGAACAAAATTGCCCCCATTGAAAACCATAGGTATAGTGGGAAACGCAAGGGCTTTGGAGCTGGACAGATTTATATGCAGTTCCTGGTTCTGCCACATTTTAGTTGATATTGAGGTATGTCAGTAATCTCTAAACTTTTGGCATTCTCATCTGTCATTTGGGGATAATCTTACTCTGTAGATAATATTAAGCTATATAAGGTATAGTTTATGGATAGTATTGATTCCCCTTCCTTAAAATTATTCATTATATACATAACGACTAGATACCTTGCCGCTGAAATATTTGTAAAATATTTTATCAAAATTATTTGTTTTTCATTTCAGATATGCAAAATCTTACTCAAATTGGGAATTTCCAATATAGTTAATTATTCTCAGAGAATCACTTATAGGGTAGAAGTACATCAATGGAAAGGGAAAGAAGGGCTTAGTTGGAAAAGTAGAGTCTAACAGGAGCTAGTTAAGTTTTAAAAAACAAATATAGTCTTAGTAGATAATCGTGGAATAAGAGTAGTTTGGCATAAAATTTATAAGCTCATAATATAAATTTCTGATTAAAGACCTAAATATTAGGAATGCTTGGGTGGCTCAGTCAGTTAATTATCTGCCTTCGGCTCAGGTTGTGATCCCAGGGTCCTGGGATCGAGTCCCACATCAGGCTCCTTGCTGAAAAGGGAGTCTGTTTCTCCCTCTGCCTACCCCTCCCCCTGCTACTGTGCTCTCTCTTTCTCCCTCATTCTGACAATAAATAAATAAAATCTAAAGACCTAAATATTAGAAGTCTAGCCACACACAAACAATAGAAGAAAACAGAACAGAATATCAAATCTTTGGAGGAAGGGTAGTTTATTATACTTTAAGATAATAGACATCATTTTACCTGTGAGTATGGAGCACCTATTTTGTAATAGGCCCTTGTCTAGATGCCAGGAATAGATAGAGCAGTAAACAAAAATCACTGTCCATATGGATCTTAAATTCTAATGAAGACAGGTAGCTACCTGATATATAGTGTGTTAGAAAGTGATAAATACTATAGAGAAAAATAAAGCATAGTTGGGGGGATGTACCATGCTAGGTGAAATTGCAGAGATTTGACAAAAGGAGGGGTGTAAATAAACCATGGGGCTGTCTGGGAGAACAGTGTGCCAGGCGGAAATAACTAGCATAAAAATATTTAAAGAGAACAACTCAACTGTCTTTCTCATTGGATAAAAAAGGGTGGTTGTTTTGCTGTTTATTTTTTAAAAATCAATTTAGGTCTTCATTTTATGCCATTTTTTTTTTAAAGATTTTATTTACTTGAGAGAGAGCATGTGTGTAAGCATATGAGTGGGGGAGAGGGAAAGGGACAAGCAGACTCCCCACTGAGCGCAGAGCCTGACACAGGGCTCCATCTCATAAGGCTCCATCTCACTACCCGAGCCAAAATTCAGACCTGAACACCTAACAGCTGAGCCACCCAGGTGCTCCTTTTTTCATGTTTTTAGCATTAA